TAATTATCAGTAGGTATACACTGTTAACTAACCGTTTGTACTGTTGTGCAATAAACTTATCTATCTATCTAGTTTTTGAAGTAGTTTGAAAAAATCTCGGGAACTCCTTTTGTTCTATTTTTTAATTAGTTTGAAACAATCTCAGAAGCCCATTTTGTCCCATTTACGAAGTGGTTTGAGATAATCTCAGGAGCCCCTTTTTTCATGTTTTGAACTAATTTGAAATAATCTCGGGGACATGTGCCTAGTTTTTGAAGTATTTTAAAAGAATCTCGGGAAATGTTTTTGCTTGATTTTTGAAGTAGTTTAAAAGAATCTCGGGAACCCCTTTTGCTTTGTTTTTGAAGTAATTTGAAATAAAGTCGGGGACCTCATGTGCCTAGTTTTTGAAGTAGTTTCAAAAAATCTCGGGGATGTCTTGTGCCTGATATTTAAAGTAGTTTGAAAGAATCTCGGGGATCCTTTTGCTTAGTTTTTGAAGTAATTTAAAAGAATCTCGGGAATCCCTTTTGATTTGTTTTTGAAGTAGTTTGAAAAAATCATGGAAACTCCTTTTGTTCTATTTTTTAATTAATTTGAAACAATCTCGGAAACCCATTTTGTTCTGTTTTTGAAGTGGTTTGTGATAATCTCGGGAGCCCCTTTTTTCATGTTTTTGAACTAATTTGAAATAATCTCGGGGACCTGTTGTGCCTAGTTTTTAAGTACTTTAAAAGAATCTCAGGAACCCCTTTTGTGTTGTTTTTGAAGTAGCTTAAAAGAATCTAGGGAAGCACTTTTTCTTAGTTTTTGAAGTAATTTCAAAGAATCTCGGGGAATCTTTTTGCTTGGTTTTTGAAGTAGTTTAAAAGAATCTCGGGAACCTCTTTTGCTTTGATTTTGAAGTAATTTGAAATAATCTCGGGGACCTCATGTGCCTAGTTTTTGAAGTAGTTTCAAAAAATCTCGGGGATGTCTTGTACCTGATTTTTTAAGTAGTTTGAAAGAATCTCGGAGAATATTTTGGCTTAGTTTTTGAACTAGTTTAAAAGAATCTCGGGAACCCCTTTTGTTTTGTTTTTTGAAGTAATTTAAAATAATCTCGGGGACCTCCTGTGCCTAGTTTTTAAAGCAGTTTCCTAAAATCTCGGGGACCTGTTGTGCCTGGTTTTTGAAGTAGTTTGAACGAATCTCGGGGACCTCTGGTGTCCGATTTTTGAAGTAATTGCAAAGAATCTCAGGGAACTGTTGTGTCTCGTTTTTGAAATGCTTGATAACCCCTCCTGTATTATTTTTAAACTCATTTGAAAGTATCTCGGAGACACCTTGTGCCTGCTTTTTGAAATAGTTTGAAAGAATCTTGAGGATCCTTTGTGACGTTTTTGAAGTAGTTTGGAAGAATTTTGTGGACCCTTGTCGTATAATGAAACTTGGGCCATCAAATTTGTTACTAAATGCCAGTACTCCTGTGATATTTAATGAGACATAATCCGGCCTAATAAAACTAGAACTACGCCGACTTGTACCAATTTGTTACTCTTAACGTGACAATTAATTTAAATATGTCAAGTTCATTTAAAAATTACGCCTCTAATTAAAAAAACGGCGCCGCCATTTGTCACGATTTATCGCATTTTCGAAACAGAGTCGTCGTTTTCAATCACCGTTATTTATTGTAATTTATGTGCGATCGGTAACAAATTCACGGCAATCAACACCCGTATGATTAACGAGGCGCTCAAATCGCCGGCTATTAAGCGAACAGTTATTATTACGTCGAAAATATAAATAAAACTGAATGAATTAGACGAAATTATTAACAAATTCCTTTCATATTTCCAACCTTGGCATCTCCTACAGTTTAGGCGTGTCCGCAAGGTATGCTATTGTTTATTTATAATTAATTCGATCTGGTTAATATTGAATATCTTCATTGACGCCGGGCAGTAGAATGCGTCTCAAATAAAAAGGAACATGACAAGTCAAAAACAAAAATCGAAATGCCGACCTTGGGCGGGAATTTCGAATTACCTCAACGCATCCTTGATTCGCGTCGCGCTTTTTGCACAAACCGCATTTTTCGATATTGTCGATATGTATTTCCCAATTAGAGTAAAATTCAGCGATTACGAAAAGTTACGTGAGGCGAATACGTGACGAGAGTGAACTTTAACTGTTGCTATTACGGGCGTTTTGCTACGGTTTATCGGAAAAATGAGCCTGTGAAGGTACTGCGACCGCGCCCAGCTTTAGGCAATCTTCATTCTTCATTCAACCGTTAGAGGTTTAATGAATGCGATTAATTAATGTGAATTTTGATAAAACACGAAAATATCATGGTCAACATATGTTTTTATTAGTGTCGAATTTAATTGTAATTAATTGATAAGATAATGGTACTACTGAATCGAATTGAGATAAAAATGTGGAAATATTCAAGGCTTGGGTTGACGTTTTCTTAATGGTTCGACTGATTTTGTGTGAACATGGTAGTAATTAATATCGGAATTAATTTTTAGTTTTCGTAAATCGAATTCTTTACATTTTTACTATGACTAATGGTCATATGAATATGTAGCGGAGTTAAAAAATGACGGACTAAAATTAAGAGATTAACACGTTTAAAAATACCACGCAAAACTTTGATATGACGTCATCAAATTTATAGAAGGGATTGGTTGGATTTGTAATCTCGAACATAGCGTGAGCAACAAACATAAAATTAGTTCTAAGGACTGTCATAAATTTAAAATTTATTTTTAACAACGGTAAGTTTCGCTAAGTGATCGAGTTTTTAGCCACAGATAAAATTATATTAATAGCCTTCTAGTAAATATATGACAACAAAAAAGGCCAAATCGCCCATAAAACAAATAAAACAGGATATTAATCTGAATAAAATAAATTCCATTATAAATAATTCTAACCGATTACTTCACCTCCACCTCCACCAAATCTGGACCAAATGCAAAAAGCGCTTTTTCCACATTACCACATTTAACACTGCCATAAATTCAGAATACAAAAGATCTCATTAGAAACAAAAAAGTCATAAATATTGAAAAGTAGGAGTGTTCGAATCAGATTCCTTCTCGAAAAGTACAGATTTTCGAATTCGCGCGTCCCCAAAAAAACGGAGTCAGAAAAATCGGTCACGCCTTGCAATTTACCTGTCGATTTTATAAATTATTCATCAGACGCAGACTGACCATAAAACTGTAAATTTTTAACCGGTGGCTTAACGATTACAACGAAATTATATCAAGGTCGTCTGAAGCGACCTTAAGAGTTCAGTGAGGGCAAAGATAAGTATCAAAAGAAAGAGAAAAACGAATCTAGAATGGCAGAGGTGCATGGTGAAAGGTTAAGCAGTTTTGTCTGTGTGGAATGTATAGGTCGACTTTGATCGAGTCTAATGGGTTGCGATGGTATCAGCTGTTGTAAACAATGTAGGTACTTTGGTGGTACTAGGGCGGTGTTTTTGGTTCGATTGTCTTCTAGTTTAATTATGCTTTAAAGCTTAAAGGTTAATCATTGTGTCCACCTAATTGTTTTGTAAATTAGGCAGATCTTATCTTCCGAAAATAGGACCGGTAGGGAAATTATCGCCATCTATGGCGACATTTTGTGGGCTTGTATCAGCTCCTGTGTTACATCATCGTTTTTTGAAATTAATTAACGAAAAAACTCCCACAACAAAGCGGCGCCTAATCGAACATCTCGCCGCTCTATTGTGCAAATTTTTTCGTCAAAAAGCAATTTCCTAACAATCGAAATTCCTCAGCCTTGATCATCGAGTCGAATTTTCCCCGAGTTCAATCAACCAACCTCCACCAAAAGTAAAAACTTCAATTAATTCATTAACAAGGTCGATCCGTGTGAATTAACAACACCATCAATTTCGCCCGAACAAATTGTGGCTACCGTCTGGACCACCATCAGATCTATCAAAAATCAACTCGAACGACGTGTTTTGGTAATTCAATGTAATCCAGATTCGCCACGATACAAATAAATTAAAGGAAATTGATTTTTAATTAGTTTTATCGCATACTAACATCCAACTTAACCTTTCCGAAATGCAAATCGACGAAAAATCGAAAATCAGATCGGACAGGTGTGGTCTCTTCATCAGTTCACCTTGCAGCTACAATAATCGTCTTATTTATTGCGTTATCGTTAAGTACCGCGACAAATTAATATTTTTGGGCGTGTGCTCGACTCTAGTCGTAAATTTCACGCTAGTTCTCGGTGACAAAGCGGCCTTCTACAGGGAAAAAATCGCGCTCCAGGATGCAGACCCTTATACATATTGATACTCACCTGCATTAACATAGCATTTGAATAACACTTGAACTTACTCTTGACAAATTGGCCTTTTTCCGACACTCTAAATGGAAATAACGCGTAAACAATAATCCAGTCGTAATCTCATAAACGCATTCCTAACGTTCCTGCCGCTGTTCGTTAATAATTCATCGATTTTGCAATTAAAAAATTATGGCGATATACACACAGCTACTGGTTCCTTGACAATAAAACGCTTGAATTACGGCGTTATTATGCAGTCTTGGGGTTTAAATTAATTGGTTTTCGCTCACGAGCGACAATTCCGCAAGAAATATATTATCACCATATCGTAATTTTTGCAAATTGACACTTTTTTTTTAATTGCCAATAAAATCGTGAGACCTTTAAACTAATTTAGACTACAATCTGATTATTCCTAATTATTATTTTTAAATTATTGTTGTCCAAAAATGTAAAAATTGTTGGCGTGCCGGCGGTAAAAATGCAAACAGAGCATGACACAAAAGTGAGAACAGCGCGTGTGGTACGTGTTATCTAACATTTTCCCAACTCCTGAAAAAACTGTAAAAAAAGAAAGAAAATCGTACGTGTCGTTACGTCTGTGGAAATCGTTGCGTTTATCGGCGCGTTTTTCTTGTTGCTCTTCAAGAGCTTTGGGGAGATCTTCTAGTGAAAGCAGAGGACCTTGCTCTTCAGTTGGGGTACTGAGGGACTGGGGGAATCTATATAATAAAGGCGGGGCTGCTGGGTTGGGTACAGTGTTCAACAGTCCTAGTGCTTAGGAGGTTGGAATTTTACACAAAATGAAGGTCCTGGTAAGTGCATGGGTACGGGGAAGACGGCATTTTTAATTTTTGCTATATTTTAAACACACTTCCATTTGATCAAAATATTTTTTCTTTAGTGTTGCTATTTGTTTTAACTTTGTCTTCATTTTTCGGGCTTGTATTTTCAAATAATGCGTCTTATTTTTCGAACATGTCGGTGGTCACGTATGATTTTATTAATTTCTGGTTTAAAATATGTAAAACAGTTGGTATGTTTCTTATTTGTTGTTAGTACGCTTTGAGTTTTATATTTTTTCGGATATTAAATGTTTTATTAAAAAGTAAAATTTTGTAGGGCGAACGAAGCGCGTGACTTGTTTGTAAAATTTGTTACCAATATTTTTTAAAATAGACCTAGCCTGAATCGTCTGCTATTATGTTGATAAATATTTTTCTAACTATGTAGTTAATACACTTTTACTGTTATAATTTTATTTCTGTATATAGTTTTTTCTAATTTATCTACTTATAAAATTTATTTTCGTTTTTTTTTTCTTGTCATAAAATTATAAAAAGGAAACTAAAGTCAATGCAAAAAAGGACATTTTGATTTTTATATTACACGCTCGTAAAATTTGTAAGCAGTAATTAGCAATCAAATGTCTATAAAACCTGACAGGTATAATTTATAAATGCTTTTAATTGAACTAATTTAGGCGACCTTAATTAATAAAATCTAAATTGGAAAAAATTCCACGAAAAGTGACTTAAAGCGCCACCTGCTAGCAATATCGCGAGTAGATCTTCAAGGAAAAAATCTGCAGGCCTTTAACAATTTCTCTTTCTAAGCCTTACATCAAACATTATATTTTCTGAATGTAGTATTTTCCAAAACTTTCACGGTTTTTGCGATATTTTTACCACAATTTCAGAAACTAAATATCAACCAATTACTTCCGCATAACACAATCATAAATTTATTAAAAATATAACTCACATGTACCACGTTTCTAATCCCAGTACAGGCAGTACCGGAAGAAACTTTTTCCCTCTTTATTGAAAATCGTATCTAAAATATTCTTTCTTTCGACAAAATTTCATTCAACCTTAAATAATATTAAACTTGTTGCGGTACTACCAAAAAATTTCGAGAAACTCTTTCCGAACCCCAATTTTCCAGATCTTAGTAAGTTGCGTGTTGGCGGCCACATCCGCCACCTATGTCCCCTACGCCATCTACCCCCAACACATCCCCGTGATTGACTCCAACGGCGTCCCGGTTGAGCCCCTCGAGAACCAGCAGGCTAAAGCCGCCCATTACGCCGCCCACGCTGAAGCCAGCGCGCGCACCGGCCAGTACTCCCCTCTCGCCCATGCCGTCTACGCCGTCCCCGCCGTGTCCGCCGTCCCCGTCAACGCTCTCCCCGCTGATACCCCCGAGGTAGCCGCCGCCAAGATCCAGCACTACCACGACTTCGCCGTGGCCGCCCAGCGCAACGGCGTCAACGTCGCCGTGCCCGTAGCCCAATACGCCGGCCACCCCGTCGACACCCCCGAAGTCCAACTGGCTAAAGCCGCCCACTTCGCCGCCCACGCCGCCGCCCGCGCCAACGTGCACCTCCGCAAGAGGCGCGACGTCTTGGCTTACCACTACCCGGTGATCGGACCCAACGGTGTCCCTGTTAACACTCCTGAGGTACAACAAGCCACCGCTGCGCACCTCGCCGCCCACGCTTCCATCACCGGCGTGCCTCTAGACACCCCCGAAGTCGCCGCCGCCAAGGCTAGCCATTTCGCCGCCCATGCCGCCGCCGGGCATGTCGTGGGTGCGCCCGTCCTGGCTGCGTATGGGTACTACGGGTCCGTGTACCCACACGCTGCTATTGGGGCTGACGGGCAACCCGTGGAGACCGCTGAAGTCCAATTAGCCAAGGCTGCCCACTTCGCCGCCCACGCCGCCGCCCGCCACTACTAAGACGACCTTTAGTGATTGAAGATACAGTTTTATAAATTAGTTTGTTATGTCATACTGCCGTACGATTCGTTCTTGGTTGTTAACGGCTTTTGGGTTTGGCGGTTAAAAATCAAGAAAAGATTTTTGTTGAGGAACCATGTACATAATGTTGTGGAAAAAGCCTAAATCTTTAATAAAACCATTAATGTAATTTGAATTTAATTTTATTGCGTTGATAAAATGAGAGGTTATTGGCGGTGGGAAGAAATCTGGCGTCGGGTCTATCGGGATCACGTGGCGATAAAAAGAATTCTTGTTGCGAGTTATGACCGGCCTTCCCTGTCTGCACTGAGAGCATGATATAATTTCTTTTATCAGAAGTTACGCATGAATACCTCTCCTGATGTAACTCGGTGTGAAATTAGAAATTGGTTCTCGATTCAAGGACTTCGGAGCGAAGTTGGCAGAACTTTATGACAAAAAAGTGGGGTTAAATAACTCCAGCGGACACGAATCGACGCTCCAAACGTTGCACTGTCCCTTAGTATCGTGTAGGTCAAAAGTTATAGGTTGCACAATTCCTTATGGTCGCGCAATAGATAGTACAGAGGTAGTACCAAAATTAATTTAACCCCACGTACAACGTGAATAACAGTTCCTATAAATGCTACCATTTTTAGACCGACTACGCTTTAGTACGACGTTTTCGAGGTACCACCAAATCCAGTTAAAAAAACTCAACTACATCCATTACTGTCACACTGATTAAAATAATAGCGTTCATAAATTAATTAAAATAAATTTTTTAGCGGTACCACTCCATAAATATTCCTACCTCTATCTCGTCAGCATCAATAAACAAGTGAACAGCAAAAACAAATACCAGTCCGATGATTAAGAAATAAATTACAACAACAAAAAGTCCCCATGGGCGATGATATCCTTGATCCGAGCTCGCATCTCATCAAATACGTCTTTCGACCACTCCCAACAGAAAAACTGTTCACATCTCCTACTCTGTAAAGTCGTACCGCGAAACTGGACCTGTCGTAACATTCCGGAACCGTACCAAAAAACCTAGACCTTGAAGTTGCACCGCCTTCCATACTCTTGAACTTTAAATAGTCAACCACAATAACAATTATTTCACTTCACCTTACTGCCAATATATGAAGCAGACATAGGCGGGGCGGGGTATATAAGCTCTTAAGGACGCTTTTTCTAATAGTTGTTGCGAGTTCTCTATAGAAGCGCAATGAAGCTCGTGGTAAGTGCAATCTTAGTGTGTCCATAAAAGGTAATGTCATTCTAACAGGTACTCATCGTTGCGGTACTCGCTTATACTTCCGCGTCTCACGTGGTACCGGTGGGAGTCACCGTAGGACTCACACCCTACTCCCACCCAATTGCTTCGTTGTACCATAGTCAAGATGTCTGGGGGCAGTACGCTTACGGGTACGCCACCCCCACTAGTACCAAAGCGGAAACTAAGACAGCTGATGGAGTCACTCATGGAGGGTACTCATACATCGACTCTAACGGAATCCTACAAACGGTGCACTACACCGCGGACCCCGTCCACGGGTTCCGAGTAGCCGCTACCAACCTTCCGAAAGACGCTCCTGATGTAGCCTACGCTAAAGCGCAACATCTCGCTGACTATGCAGCCGTCCAAGCCGAACACGCTAAAATTGCAGTCCAGTACTCCAACCCAATCGTAGTACCCGCCGCTTCCGTACTACCAACCCCCGTCCAAGACCTACCCGAAGTTGTAGAAGCGCGCGCTAGACACTTAGCCGTCCTCCAAGCAGCTTACACCGGTGCCGCCGTAGTACCACCACAACCCGTCCAAGATCTGCCAGAAGTAGCCAAAGCTCGCGCCGAGCACTTAGCTATAGTTGCGCAAACCCGAGCAAGAGACGCCGCTGCCCATCTTAGCCCAGTACAACTCACCGGGAACGTGGTAGCAGTGCAAACCACAGCACCGGTTGCTGCCCCTGTGGCCACTAGCCAAGTTTCATACACCCCGGCGTCGTCCCAGTACCACGCCCAAGATGGTTTAGGGCAATACTCGTACGGGTACGTAGGTCCAACTAGCTCGAAAAGCGAAACCAAGTCCGCTGATGGGGTCACCAGAGGCGGGTACTCTTACATCGACGCCAACGGGGTACTACAAACCGTGAATTACATTTCTGATGCAGTGCATGGGTTTAGGGTAGCTGCTACGAATTTACCAGTAGGGCCTAGTGGTACCGTCGCGGAGCAGCAGGTTGTGGCAGCTAAGGCAGTACCGGTAGTAGGGCAGTTGTACTCTCACACCGTCTACTTTTAAACTAGATGCTTGTATTTCGCAATTAATAAATTAATTAATTAGATGCATGCTGAAATCCTTGATTAATTTATGTATGTAGTTTGAAGTGTTTTAAGTAAATTGTTGATTAATTTGTTTTTGTAATTGTGTTGACCCGTTAGATGGACGTTAAAAAGGTATCTGTTATCGGAGATTAGTTCATAATGTCAAAGTTTAGCTACTATGATGCTAATTGATTAAACAAAATAGAAAGTTAGGCGCTTGAACATTTCTTTTTTTAACAGGAAAATGTATACCGGGCGACAATGAAAACCGGTACTTACGCAATTCTTATTAAAGATGCAAGTGAACTAGTTTTGCGAGACAACATATGCGTTTCTGCTGTGTAACTGGTGGAATAAAATAACTGCTTTTGTTCTAAAAAAAACTGCGTAGTAGGATTTAAATTTCGGCATTTGTACAATTTTTACTTCCTGAACTAAGCTGAGGCTACTGTTTTGTTTTCTCTGTGTCTGTCTGTCTGTCTGTCTTCCGTGTGTTCGAATTTTTGTTGGACGGATAATCTCCGAAACTACTGGATCGATTATTGTCAGATTTTATATGTGTATTAGGAATATCGTATAAATGGTAAAATGCTAACCAACATTTGGATAAACGTCCCCACCAATAATAGGATGACGTCATATTATTAAAAAAAATCAAAATTGTATAACAATATTTTGCAATTTAACTTTGAAACTGCAAAATCGAATGCTTTGAAATTTTGCAAACGTTTTAAAGTTATCGTAATCATGGTGAAGTGTTAATCAAAATTTATTCGTTTATCCAATTCCAAAAAATTGATGACGTAATCTCCAAATTTTACCGAATTAATCTTGTCTGAAATATGTAAAATATTACAATCGTAGAGTTTAGAATTACTTATACAGGGTGACTCAAAAAATTGATAAATGAGGCAATTTATTGGATGATTGAATAAAGTCAAAAACTCAAGAATCAATAATAATCAAGATCAAGAATCCATTATTTTCTCAAAAATTTGAGAATACAATAGGAATATTAGTACTACACTGCATCTGAGCAAATAGATATACTTGTCCTTGAAAACAATGCTGATGACGTCATCACAAAATTTTGTATGGAAAAACTCACTAGAAACAATCCCGTAGCATGCTTCTTTACATTTACTTTAATTTTACCTACATATCTTTATTTTTTTTATTTTATCTTATAAGAGTCATCATAAAAAAATTAAATTCGCAAAATGAAATCTTATAATTTTTCGAAATATATGGATTTGTTTACCTTTGAACAATTTTTTGATATCCCCATTTTTCTTTTTTTATTTTTGTTCATTTTTCAATTTTTCCATTTTTATTGTTTCGGTTTCATAATTTTTCGTTTTTTCAACTTTAATTTTTAAAATTTCTCAATTTCTCGTTTTCCAAATTTTACAATTTCTCAATTTCCAAATTTTTCATTTTTCGCACTCAGTTTTCCGCTTTTCAATTTTTCAATTTTGCAACTTTTCACTTATTCAGTTTTTCAAATTTTCAGTTCTTCTATTTCTCAATTTTTTAAATTTTCATTTTTTCTATTTCCCAATCTATAAATTTTGAACGTCAATTTTTAATTTTCGATATTTCAATTTTTTGTTTCTTCAATTTTTCTTGATTCCAAGTTTCAGATTTTTTAAAGTTTTCATTTTATACTTTCTCGTAATTTCATTTTCAATTTTGTAATGTTTCCATTTTTTTCATTGGACAAGTTGAAAAATCGAAAAATTAAAGATCGGAAAACTAAAAAATCAAGAAGAAATTAAAAAACGAAAAACTGAAAAAACGAGAAATTGTATAATCGAAAAATTGCAAATCGAAAAACTGAAGAAACAAAAAATTGATACATTGAAAAATTAAAAACCCGTAAACTTAAAAATCACAAAAAATTAATGTACCAAAAAATTGGAAATAAGCAAAACGAATCGATTCGAATCGAAAATTTGGAAAACCCAAAAATTGTAAAATCGAAAAGTTATAGATTCGTCAAAATTGGTAACTCGAAAAGCTAACATCGAAAGATGGAAAACTTGAAAAATTATTAAAAATGAAGAAACTCAAAAATTAAAAGTCGAATAAATGAAAAAGTTTTAAAACCAATGATTGAAAAATGGAAAAATTCTAAAATCGTAAAATTGAAAATCTAAAATCTAAAAATTGCAAGTCGAAGAACTGAAGAAAAAGGAAAATTGAAAATGAAAAAAATAAAAATCGGGAAACTTAATGAAAATCGAAAAAATTACTGAACCAAAAAATTGGAAAGAAACAAAAATGAATCGAAAATTTGTAAAACCCAAAAATTGCAATAAATATGAAGGAAATCATAAATTGAAAATCGAAAAACTGAAAAAGTGCTTAAAAACTTTTAAAATGCACTGATTGAAAAATGGAGGAAAATTTTTACAATTGTAAAATTGAAAAACTAAAAAAACGAGAAATTTCAAAATCGAAAAAGTAGGAAACCGAAAAATTGCAAATCGGAGAATGGAAGAAACGAAAAATTGATGCATTGAAAAATTAAAAATCGAGAAACTTAAAAATCGAAAATTAATGAACCAAAAAAATTGAAAAGAAGCAAAAACGTATCGAATCCAAAAATTGTAACATTCCATGATTGAAAAATGAAAAAGTTAAAAAAGTGGAAAATATGAGAAATTATAATTATTTTACGTATTTCCAAAGAAAACTAGAAAAATTGAAAATCAAAAATTGAAATATTAAGAAACTGAAAAATTTGAAATTGAAAAAATGAAGGGCTAAAAAATCTAAAAGTTAAAAAACCATAAATTAAAAACCGAAAAATAGAGAAATCCCAAAATTATACAATTTCACAATGCAAAAAAGAAACATAATAAAATCCGAAGATTGCAAAACCGAAAGATTGCAAAATTAAGCAAATAAAAAACTAGAACGGAAAATTGTAAATTGAAAATTTGAAAAACTGAGAAATTAAACAATTGGAAAATTGAAAAATTAAAAACTAAAGAATCGAAAAACAGAAAAATTCAAAATTGAAAACTTGTAAATCGATAAAGTGAAGAAACAAATAAATGGAAAACTGATGAATTAAAAATAGAAAAACGAAAAAATCGGAAAGAAATAAAAAATACCAAAATCGCAAATCGAAAAAATGAACAAACGAAAAATTGATACAGTGAAAAATTAAAAACGGAAATATAAAGTTCAGAACAAATTATTGAACCAAAAAATTGGAAAAAAGCAAAAACGAATCGAATCGAACTGAAAATTTGGAAAACCCAAAAATTGTACAATCGAAAAATTATAGATTCCTCAAAATTGTAAACTCGAAAATCGAAAAATTTTTATAATCCAATGATTGAAAAATGGAAAATTCTAAAATTCATAAAACTGAAGCGAAAAATTCAAGAAATTACATATTTAAAATGAACACTAGACAAATTTCAAATCAAAAATTGAAAAATCAACAAATTGAAAAATTTGAAATTGAAAAATAGAAAATTAAAAAATCTAAAAGTTGAATAACGGAAAAATTAGAAAGCGAAAAATAGTGAAATCCAAAAATTTAAAAAGTTCACATTGTTGAAAAGAAAAATTATAAAATATAAACATTGAAAAACTGAAAAATTGAAAAAATAAAATAAAAAACCGAATGAAATAAAAAATTAAAGAATTGGAAAAATGAAAATTCGGGAAACATAAAAATCAGAACAAGTTTTTGAACCAAAAAATTGGAAAGAAGCAAAAACGAATCGAATCGAACTGAAAATTTGGCAAACCCAAAAATTGTACAATCGAAAAATTATAGATTCGTCAAAATTGTAAACTCGAAAAACTAATAATCGAAAAATTTTTAAAATCCAATGATTGAAAAATGGAAAAATTCTAAAATTCGTAAAATAGAGAAAGTGAAAAATTCAAAAATTATATATTTAAAATGAAAACTAGAAAACTTTCAAATCAAAAATTGAAAAATTTGAAATTGAAAAAACGGAAAATTAAAAAATCTAAAAGTTGAATAACGGAAAAATTAGAAAGCGAAAAATAGTGAAATCCAAAAATTTAAAACGTTCACATTGTTGAAAAGAAAAATTATAAAATCTGAACATTGAAAAACCGAAAAATTGAAAAACAAAGTAAAAAACCGAATGAAATGAAAAATTAAAGAATTGGATAAATGAAAAATTAAAAATTGAAAACTAATAAATCGAAAAAGGAAAGAAACAAAAAATGGAAAATTTAAGAATTAAAAATCGGAAAACTAAAAAAATCGGAAAAAATTAATGAACCAAAAAATTCGAAAGAAGAAAAACGAAACGAATCGAAAATTTGGAAAACCCAAAAATTGTAAAATTGAAAAATTATAGATTTGTCAAAATTGTAAACTCGCAAAACTAAATTGAGGGATCAAAAAATCGAAAAATTAAATATAAAAAAATTCAAAAATTAAATATCAAGAAAATCAAAAATTAAAAATCGAAAAACTGAAAAAACGAACAAATGAAAAAGTTTCAAAACCCAATGGTCGAAAAATGAAAAAAATCGTAAAATGAAAAGTAGAAAATTTACAAATTAAAAATTGAAAAATCGACAAACTTAAAATTTTGAAAATCAAAAAAGGAAAAATTAAAAACCGGAAAATAGAGAAATAGAAAATGTAAAAATTGAAAAATATATACAAATATGAAATCTACAAAACCCAAAAATTGAAAAAAGAAATCGGAAAACTGCAAATCGAAAATTTGAAGCATTGAAAATTTAAAGAATTGAAAAATTGAAAAATTAAAAATTAAAGAATCGAAAACTTCAACAACTAAACATTGAAAACTTGCAAATCGAAAAAGTGAAAAAACAAAAAAAAATGGGAAATTAAATAATTAAAAAATTCAAGTAAAAAAAGCTACGGGAGTGTTATTTACGTCACTGGCTTAAACCTCATCGAAGGTATGTAAAAACAAAAATCGCTGTACTTCAGGCTAGGAAATTTCTGTCGCAATAACCTTCGTCCAAATTTTTTTTGGGGATATTCTAATCTATTAAATTTATTTCTATTCTATTCTAGATGAGAATATAATATATATAATTTTCCCAAAAACTATCCACCAGACTTTTTTGAAAATTGGTAATCCGTTTCAAAAAATTGTTGACGTCATCTGAATACATTAATAAATCCACTTGATAAATCCTTTGGCCACACAAAAACTACAATGACGTCCAGTGCTCATTATTCAACAACAAGTTTTTCAGTTAACCAATTTCATCAATACTTGTTTTGGCTAATAAATTTTAATCTGCCTCGTTATATAAAAATTGAGCAGTAATGCGTTTCTTATCAAAGTAATATAAAGAATATTGCATAACATTTGCAACAATTATAAAAAATTAGAGTCACTATTAATACAATATTTCGCAAAAGTAAAAATTCAGTCTTATCACCACGAAAACAAATAAATAAATAAAATTTGACATCTAGAATAATCCGGATTAGAATTCTCCTAACACAGATAAAGCAAATCACAAACCAGTATTTTGATTAGAACAGAGCGAAATTGCAACACATTATTTTGTTCCAAATTTTTTTCCAAACAACTTCCTGTATTTCAAAAAACAGACAGTTTTTTTCCAACATCTAACTAATGCTCCCGCGACAGTAAAAACGTATGTCAAAGTCCACACGTAATTACCACACAGGGGCTCGCCGGATGATAATGAAATCCTTATCAAGTGACCTTTGGGTTAACTCATCCAAAACTTATATAAAGAAGTTACAAGAAAGACCAACGAGTCAAAACCGGACACATGCCGTCCAGACGCGTAGTGATTAAGTGAAAAATTATTAAATTGGAACTAACTGTGGACAAAATGGTGCACTCGAAAATACTACAAACCGAAAACTCCAGAACCCTGTTAACAGTGTCCGAAAAGTTGGAAAAAGAACCGCGAAAAGCGACACAATTTTTGGCTTCGGCGTTAGGTAAGCAAAAAATTTATCACTAGTAAATTCAAGTACGCAAATTAAGATTTATTATTGTTATCGACGTAGTAGTGCGTCAATTTAGTGTGATTGACGTTCGATTTGTTTATCACTGGTAAGTGTAATTTTCGACTTTGATTTTTCAGCGACACTGAGTGCGCTATGCCTCGGCATGTGCCTCGTGTGGACTTCCCCGGCCTTGCCCATGCTGGAAAACCCCCAAAGTCCCGTTAAAATTTCCAAGAGCGAAGGCGCCTGGATTGGTTCACTTCTGACCCTAGGGGCTTGCCTGGGTGCTATTCCTACAGGACCCATCGCCAATTGGGTGGGTCGGAAACGCACCCTTCAATTTCTAGCGCTACCGCTTTTCGCTTCATGGATGATTATAGCCTATGGGTAAAAATGGGTACTTTTTACCACCGTCATTCACTAGAACGGTTGTTTTATTTCAGTGATTGCGTGGCGGCGCTTTACGTCGCCCGTTTTATCGCTGGAGTGGCGTGCGGCGGCGTCAGTGTCGCCGCCCCCATGTACATAGCGGAACTAGCACACACGTCCATCCGGGGGACTCTAGGGACGTTTTTCCAGGTCCTGATTACAGTGGGTGTGCTTCTGGAATATTTACTGGGTGAGTAAAATCCTGCAGACGGTTCTTTTTTCGGTTTAAAGGTGGCTCTGGACTCACCAACTCCACAAATGATTATAGTAATTGTGAAAATATCACAGTTCGTTAACTAAAATTGTACGCTTTTGCGTCCAGAAGTGGATTAACTGATGTAATGTAAACAAGCCGCTTAATTAGGTTTTTCATGATTGCTTTTTGTTTTTACGAGTCTCGGTGTATTGACGATTCAATTTTTCAAGCGACCTATAACATTTTAGCGCTCGAATTACGTTTATTGGTGTTATTTATGGGAATGTTCTTTGAGAGATAAATGGAGTGTGTGCAAAGAGTATTTGCTCAATTTTCGGGGGTTTTTAAGTCTAATTTGACGTGTTCGAGTGAAAAGTAAAAGGTTTTTTAATCAGCTGGGTTTTGATGTTTGGGGGCTAATTCTGCGTGTCGTAAAGTAATAAACTGTAGTACACGATATTACAACTAAAAAAATACGGTTTATTTATCCAAGGGTAAACGACATTTATGTAAATGTTAATTTTTTGGAGTCAAAATTTTATGTATTTTTGTCAATAATTTCAAATGGAGTCAAATGGGTTATGTATCTACTCGTACAAATCAGGGTTGTGCACATTAACAATAAAACGCACACAATAGCGATCGCTGACAATGCTACAATGATTTATTTATTCGCAGTTACCACGGTTTTGTTTATAATTGCGTTGTATATAAAATCATAACATACGTAATGTTGAAATAATTCAAACATGTTGTAATGCGCATTATAAAGCCGTCAATATCATTCATTATTTATTTAATTTCACGCAAAAATCACAGCGTTCGCTTCAAAATTATTTTTCTACCAAATCTGCTGATTTTATATTTTACATATTATGGTAAAATAAGGTTATCCAAATTTTGCTATTCATCCCCACCAAAAATGTGATGGCGCCATATCAATATTTTGGTAAAGGTAGGGATTAATGAGTGTCAGGGTCCGCTAACTCACGCTTTTTTTCGTCACGGGTGGAGCTGAATTGTGGATCTTTGCGCGATCCGCTCGTCGTAGAAGGAATGGGAGTACAGACCAACATATGCTTTTCGAAAAATCGAAATATGGAGATCTCGAACAAGCGAAAAACTAAATCATTGCAATATCAATAAATCGAGAAATCAAAAAATTTTGGAAATCGAGAAATTTAAAATTCGAAGAAAAATCGAAAAATCGAGAATTTTAAAAGTCGAAAAACCAAAAAATCGAAATCCGAAAAGACGAAAAATCGGTACATCAAAAAATCGAAAAACTTATAAACCAAGAAATTCAATCACCCAGACATCGAGAAACCAAAAAATTAAAAGATCGGAATACCCATAAATCGAGAAATCAGGAAATCAACAAATTTTAATATCGAAAAATTGAAAAGCCGAAATATTAAAATAAGAAAAGTTGTAAAATCGAAATCTCGGCCTATGGAAACGTCAAAAGATGAAAAAATCTAAAATTTTACAATCGAAAAATTCAGAAATCAAAAAATTGAAAAATCGAGAAAAAGTAAAAATGGTCGAACAATTTTAAAAATCGGAAAACCGAGACGTCGAGAAATTGAATATTTGAAAAATTCAAAAATTTAAATATGTATTAAAAATTTGAAATCTGGAAATCGTATCATCAAAAGATCGAAAAACGCGAAATGTAAAATTTAAAAAATTGAAAAACTACAAATCAAAAAACTAGAAATCGAAAAATCGAAATAGCTAAAACTTAAAATATTGGGAAATTGAGTAGGTAATCGAAAAATTAAAAAATCGAAAAAGAAAAATCGATAGATGAAAACTTTTTAAATTTAGAAAAGTGAACAATTGAAGAATTGAGAAACTAAACAATCGAGAAAAAATCGAAAAACCGAGAAATAGAGAAATCGAATCAAGAATTGAAGTCCAGAAGTCAAAAAATTGATAATTTGAAAAATCGAAATAACCCAAAATTGAAATGTCGAAAAACTCGAGATTGAAAATTTTAAACTTAAAAAAGCCCATAAATCGAAAGTATAAACTTCGAAATCTCGATAAATCGAGAAATGGAAAAATTGAAAAACTGAAAAATTGACCGAGGAATCAAAAACTTTTAAATGAACAAATTGGTTAAAAATCCAAAAATTTTAAAATCCGAAAAATTGATAAATTGAAAACTTGAAATATTAGAAAACCCGACACTGAAAAACCCTAAAAGTGAAACATTGAAAACTTGAGAAATCAAAAAGCTGAGAAATTTAAACATCGAGAAATTGAAACTTTGAAAAATCAAAAAATTGAAAAATCAAAAATCGATTAATCGGGAAATTGAGAAACACAAAAATCCAAAATTTAAAAACACAAAAAATTGAAAAATTGAAAATTTGAAAAATTTAAAATTCGAAAAAGAAAAATCGAAAAACGAAGATTTTTAAAAATTGAAAAACCCAATAATCGAAGTTCGAAGAGTCGTAAAATCAAAATCCGCAAAGTGGAGAATCGAAAAGCTAATAAATCCAGAAATTGAAAAATCCCAAAACTGAAATCTCGAAAAATTTAAAAATCAAAAAATTGGAAAATCAAAAAATCGAAAAACTTAGATATCGAGAAATGGAAATTGAAAAATTGAAACACAAGAAATCTAAACATCAAAACATCGAGAAATCCAGAAATTGAGAAATCGAAAAATCGAAAATTTCAAAAATTGAAACGACGGAAAATTGAAAAATTTGAAATTTAAACTTAAGAAATTCGATTAATTGAAAAATCAAAACTTTCAAATCTCCCTAAATCGAGCAATGAAAAAGTTGAAAAACTGAAAAATTTATAAATTGAAAAATTAAAAAATTGAAAAATCGAAAAACCGAAACAAGAAAGGTCGAAAAATCGAAAGATCAAGCAATGGAAACGTCAAAATATCAAAAAATTTAAAATTTAAATATCGAAAAATCACTAAATCGAAAAATTGAAAAACCAGAAACTGGAAAAGTTCCAAAATTCTAATGTTGAAAAATTAAGAAATCAAAGACTTGAAAAATCGAGACATTGAAAAAAAAGGGGAAAAATTTTAAAAACCGAGTCGTCGAGAAATAGAAAATTTGAAAAATTGAAATACATGGGTATTTAAAAATTAAAAATTTGAAATCGGGAAACTGAATCATCAAAAAATGGTAAAAATACAAATGTTAAATTAAAAAATTGAATAATTTAAAAATCGGGAAAGAAAAATCGAAAAATCAAAAATTTTAAAAATAAAAACATGGAAAATTGAAAAATTGAAAGATTGAGCAATCGAGCAATCGAAACATCAAAAAATCTAAAATTTAAAAAATTGACAAATTGAAGAATCGAAAAAGTAAACAATCGAGGAAAAATCAAGAAATTGAGACGTCGAAATTGAAAAATTGAAACATCAAGAAATCTAAAGATCTACAATTTCAGCAATGGAGAAGTCGGAAAATTTAAAAATTGAGAAATCAAAATAGCCCAAAATTGAAATATCGAAAAATTCGAAATTGAAAAATGTGAACTTAAAAGATCCGATAAAAATCTGAACTTCGAAATCTCGATAAGTCGAGAATTGGAAAAATTGAAAAATTGAAAAAGTTGAAAACCTAAAAATCACAAACTTTTAAAATCGAAAAATCTAAAAACGAAAATCCGAAAACAGAAAGATCGGGAAATCGAAATATCAAAGTGGTGAAAAATCTAAGATTTAAAAATTCTGAAAATCAAGAAATTGAAAACTTGAAATATTAAAAAACCCGAAATTGAAAAATCCTAAAACTGAAACAGAAAAATTGAGAAATAAAAAAAATGAGAAATTAAAAAATCGGCAAACTGAAAAATTGGAAAAACAAAAATCGATTCATCGAGAAATTGCGAAATCGAAAAATCCAAAATTTAGAAACGCAAAAAACTGAAAAATTTAAAATCCGAAAAGTCAAAAAATCGAAATCCAAACAGTCGAAAGATCGAAACATCAAAAAATTAAAAATTGAAAAAGTCGAAAAATGAAAACATCCTACAATTTAGAAATTGACAAATTGAGAAATGTTGAAAAAGTGAGAAATCGAGAGTTTAAAAAATCGAAAAACCGAAAAATTGAAATACATATTAAAAAATTTAAAATCGGGAAATCAAAACAACAGAAAATCGTAAAATGAAAATTTGGAAAAATCGAAAATGTAAAATTTTAAAAATCTAAAAACTAAAAATCTAAAACTAGAAATTCAGAAATCAAAAATTCTACAATTAAAAAAAATAATAAAAAGTGATAAATTGGGAAATTAAAAAATTCCCAAACTGAAATGTCAAAAAAAAAGAAAAACCGAAACATCGAGAAATCGAAATCGATATCGATAACTTGAGAAATCAAAAAATTTTAAAAATCGGAAAGTTAAAAAACCGAAATATCGAAATAAGAATAGTCGAAAAATCGAAAGATCGATAATCAAAACGTCAAAAAATCAAAAAATCTAATATTTAAAAATCGAAAAATTGTTAAAAATCACAAATTGAAAAATTCCCACTATTGAAATGTAAAACTGAGAAATCAAAAACATACAAAATCAAGAAATTGAAATAATAAAAGGCCCAAAAATTTAAAAAATCGAAAAACCGAAGAGTGGAAAAATCAAGAATTCGAAAAATTGAAAAATTGGAATGGATATATAAAACACAATAAATCAGGAAATCGAAACATCAAAAAATCGTAAAAAGGCGAAGGTAAAATTAAAAAAAAACAAAAAATCGATAAATCAAAAATTGAAAAAATTGGGAAATTCAAAAACTGAAAAATTTAACAATCGAAAGAAAAAATGGAAAAATCAAAAATTTTTTAAATCAAAAATCGAAAGATTGAGCAGTCGAAACTCATCAAAAAATCAAAATATCTAAAACTTAAAAACCGAAAAATTGAAGAATTGAAAAATCGAAATAAAAAATTGAATCCTCAAGAAATGTAAGCATTAAAACATCGAGATGTCCAGAAGTCGAGAAATCGAAATAGCAAAAAATTAAAAAATGGAAAAATTAAATAACTGAAAAATTGAAGATTTGAAAAACCAAAAAATCTAAACACGCAAGTGCGAAATTGAAAAATCCTAAAACTAAAACATCGAAAAATTTAGAAATCTAAAAATCGGGAAATTGAAAATTGAGAAACTGAAACATTGAGATATTAAAAAATTGAAAAATCAAAAAATCAATTAGTCAATAAATTGAATGGAATCGAAAAAACTGAAATTTCTGAAAATTGGGAAATCGAAAATAAAACATGGGGAAGTCGAAAATCTGAAAATCAAGTGATTGAAAAATCAACAATATGAAAAGTCCCCAAACTGAAATATTTAAAAATTGAATAAAGAAATCGAAAAATCATAAAGCCGAAAAATATAAAAATTGTTATTCAATTTTGTTTTCTTCTCCCAAAAATCTCAATGTCTAGGATAATTCAATATTAACTTATTAACTACAAGTTCGGAACTATGTTACATTTTAACATTCAAATAACATTTATTTGACAAAATTGTAAGATGTGTAATGGTGTTTCTTCAAAATAATTAGGATTTTCAGCACTCCACATTCTGAATTTTTTGATAAAATTTTGATAGGTTAGGAAAAATTCAAGGCGCATTTATAAACCACGACTACAGAAGTATACTATTTTATGAAATTTACATAATATTGAATTTAGGTAATTTTGAGGAGACGTAACCAAATTGTAAACTTTATTAAAAAGAGTTGGAAAATTTACGAGATTCTTATTTGTTGTTTTTTTACAATACCAAAGTCCTTGAATTCGACGTACCTCTGTTCATTCAACTTTTAATTTTTTACATGGAGTCAATATACGTACGCGAATTTGGCAAAAAACTTATCGTAAACAACTGAAGGATTTTTTTATTAGATTCATCAGTCAAGTGTATTTCAGCGTTGTTTTTAGATAACATTTTGTTTATTTTGAAACAAATACTACCTCTTTTATCTGCGACTAATAATTAAATTAATTTTCTACATAATTATGCTTAAATTGGGTCTGTTGAAAGCAATGCCCGATGTAGCGTTGTGTTAATCCCGGATCTAATTGAATTCGTATTTATATTTTCGTTGTTATCTAAACGACTACAACTTCACATTTCTCTGTTCCTAATTTACGAATAAATATTGATAAACATTTTGTAACGTTTACAGTTTAGTCAAGTTTCTATCGCAGTATAACAATCTCTCGAATTGCACCCTAAAGAGCGTCAATTTCCCCCAACTCCCCAAAATAAAAACGTGCAACCAAATTTGCACCTTAGTTCTCCTCTATTTTTAGTGAACTTAAATCGATTCTCAGCTCTATTTCCCAGTCCCCCGAAACTGTACACACCGAACCTGCCACATTTCATACGCCGCCGTCCTCGCACCTTCTCTCCCTTAATTCTTTTCTTCAGCCCCAGAATGAAATTTCTCGAATTAAATAATCCCCTTTCAGCTTTGTAAACCCAGCGAATAAAACATTACAAAAGCACGTAAGCTTTTAAGCAAAAGGGACCGAAATGAATAATAAAAAAAGAAATCTTGTCCATCCCACTTGCTTTATGTGTTTTACCGATGCCCGGCACGTTTGTCCATTTATTGATTTTTCCCAGTTCGTGGACATCCCACGTATTAAAATTTGAGACGTCAAAGTTGCGTACAAAGTACTAGTTCGAAACTAATTAAATGGAACACGAGTACAAAACACGTATGCGCCCTGCGCTAAATCACTGCGTCTCCCTAGAACTCCTCAGCACAAAGCCACTTAAAACGTAAACATTTCTCGTTTGAAATGTTTACGCGCGTAATTAGAATCACATTAACAATTTGTTTTTCCAGGGGGAACGATTACTTCCTTCCAATACCTCGCCCTGGCGTCGGCCGCCTTCCCGCTGCTTTTCCTGACGACGTTCTCGTTCATGCCCGAAACGCCGGTGTATTTGTATACGAAGGGGCGGATCGACGACGCGAGGAAGGCGCTCCAGTTTTTCAGGGGACGCCACTACAGCGTGGATGAGGAATTGATGAAGATCGCTGAAGACATTAAAGAGGCGACGGCAAACAAAACTAGTTTGGGGGATTTGTTGAGGTCGAGGGTAACGCTTAATGGGCTGGTCATTTCTATGGCATTAATGGCCTTCCAGCAGCTGAGTGGCATAAACGCTGTGCTTTTTTACGCCGCCAATATTTTCGCCGAAACGGGAAGCTCGATGGCGCCGGATACGTGTGCAATTTTGGTGGGAGTAGTGCAGGTGGGTAGATTAAAAAAGTTTTGGGGGAAGATCATTCTCTAATATTTAATAAGGGAAGCGTGAGAGGCGTTTTTGTGACAAATATGGTTTTAAAATATGTTAGCTGCATTTCCTAAAAGTGAAACCAGCTTGTAGTTTCAACAAACTGCACAAAAATGTTCCGAATTAAACCTTAGCAACCTAAATATTAATTTATATTACACTGTTAGTATTTATACCGTAACTGCTGCTCGTTCCATTGTCATTAGTACGGATATGACCAACATCTGCACTAAACATTCTATCCCTGAATTTTGAATTGTTACAATTTCTTGAATCATGGCGAAAATAGCAAAAATATCGTCCACATACATCAACTACACATACGTAAATGAAAAATATCTAAACTTATTTATGTAAAAAAAATGTCAAAGAAGAAAATACACCTTCATACTGCCGGAAAAATTTCCCGTGAAATTGAAAAGGATTCAGTTTCTTTGGCTAAATATAGTTCTTGATCATCAATTTGTTAGAGTAACTGCAAAAGGTAGACCAGTAAATTGTTTGCTGCAATATTTGAAAGAAAACTGAAGGCCCCAATGGTTTTTTTTTTAATTTTAAAGAATCTTGGAAGCCCCTGTTTTTTTTATTTTGAAGGAGCGCTGGGAACCCCAGGTGTTTTTTTTTGAGAACTAAAATAAGTTCCGATGTTTCATTTTTTCAAGAACTTGTAATAAGACTCTCGGTAAGACCTAGTGTGTTGTTTTTGAAAGAATTTGAAAGAATCATAGGAATCTCTAGCCATTTATTTCTTTAATAATTTAAAACACTCTCGGAGACCTCTAGTGTTTTATAAAAATTTTCACTACATTTGGATTTCTTTTTTTATAATTCGGAAAATCCTACGGGACCACCTTGGTGTTTTTTTTAAGTTTTGGGAACCCTTGGTGTTATATTTTTTTAAATAATTTTAAAAAATCCTAACGATCGTTGTTTCATGTATTCAAGAACTGACTCTGGAGTGCCTCTGCTCTTGTATTTCGAAATTTCTAGTGTTTTATTTATTGAAGTAATTTGAAAGCGTCTTAGAAACCCCTGTATTTTATTTTTAAAATAGTAGAAAAAAAATTAAGCCCTCAGTATTTCATTTTTTAACAATCTCCAAAATTCTCAAGGTCCTCTGGTGTTTCTTTTTTAATAATTTGAAAGAATCAAGGGACTGAATCTCTAGTGTTTTATTTATGAAAGAATTTGAAATAATCTTTGAAATCCCTGGTATTTTATTTACTTAAATAATTTGAAAGCATCTTGGAAATTCCTTGTGTTTTATTTTTGAAATAATATAAAAAAAAAATCCAAGCCCCCGTATTTCATTTTTCAAGTATTTTTAACATTCTCACGGTCCTCTGGTGTTTGTTTTTTTGAAATAATTTGAAAGAATCATGGGAATCGCTAGTATTTTATTTTTTTAATAATTTAAACGATTCTTGGAGGCCCCTGGTCTTTCATTTTTGAAAGAATTTGAAAGAATCCTAGAATCTCTAGTGATTTATCTTTTTTTAATAATTGAAAAAACTCTCTGACGAAAAAAATTGCAAAAATGTTCACTATACTTGGATTTAATTTTGTATAATTTGGAAAATCCTAGGGGCCCGTGGTGTTTTTTTTTAATAATTTTAAAACATCCTAAAATACCATTCTGATTCATTTTTTCAAGAAGTGTCTGGAGTGCCTCTGGTCTTGTGTTTTTGAAAGAATTTGAAAGAATCTTTGCAATCCCTAGTGTTTTATTTATTGAAGTAATTTGAAAGAATCTTTGAAACCCCTGATATTTTATTTATTTAAATAATTTGAAATCATATGCGAAGCTTTTGGAATAATATAAAAAAAACCCTAGCCCCCCCCTGTATTTAATTTTTCAAGTATTTCTAAGATTCTCAAGGTCGTCTGGTGTTGTGTTTTTTGAAAGAATTTGAAAGAGTCATAGAAATCTCTAGTGATTTATTTCTTTAATAATCCAAAAAGTTCTCGGAGGCCTCTAATGTTTCGCTTTTGAAAGAATTTGCAAACATTTTCACTACTCCTGGATTTATTTTTTTATATAAATTGGGAAATCCTAGGGGCCCTTAGTGTTTTTTTTAGTTTTGGGATTATATTTTTAAATAATTTTAAAAAATCGTAAAAACACTTCATTTTTTCAAGAATTTGTAACACTCTGGAATACCTCTGGCTTCTATTTTTGAAATAATTTGGAAGAATCTTTGAAATCTCTAGTGTTTTATTTATTGAAGTAATTTGAAAGCATCTTAAAAAATCAATGTATTTTATTTTTAAAATAATAGAAAAAAACTTTAAGCCCTCGATATTTCATTTTTAAGAATCTCTGGTGCTTTCTTATTTCTGAAAGAATTTGAAAGAATCTTTGAATATATTATATCAAAGATTCTTTCAAATTCTTATAATATATTATATAAAAAAAAATCCAAGACCCCATACGTTTTTAATTTTTCAAGTGATTCTAAGATTCTTAGTCATCTGGTGTCCAGTACAATTGCAAGTTTTAGAATGGTATTTAAGGAAATGAGATTTCAAAATTAAGAATCTCACGATTTTGATTCCTGCTTCTAGTAGGTACTTATTTAAATTTTGAAAATCCAAAACTTGAGGATTTCGCTAATCACAGATTTAGGGTTTCATTACTGTGGATTTATATCATAATTTTCAGACTTCGAATGTCGACATTAGGATTCAAAATTGAGAATTTCAGGATTATGATGTGTGATTTGGCGTTTTAGGATTCAGGGTTTTTGGAATTATGGATTCCAGAATTTCGTAATTTCGTATTTCTGAGTTGAAAATTTCGGCATTTGAAGTTTCAAGTTTCATGACTTGAAGATTTTACTATTTTGGATTCCGACTACACAATTTTAGGACTTTGCTATTGTGATTCTCGGGTTTCGTAATTTCATGTTTCAGAACGTCAAAGTGCGGGGTTTAATCTAAAATTCGAGCTTTTCAGAAATTGCAAATTTAGGATTTCATGACTATGGATTTAGAATTCAGAATGTTCAGATCAAGTTTTCAAAATTCAGAATTTCAAAATTATGATTTGTGTTTTAGCGTTTTAGGATTCAATGTTTTTGAATGATTTTGTATGGCTTGAGAATTTCGGCATTTATAATTTCAAGATTCATGACTTGAAGATTTTACTATTCTGCATTCCGGATTACAATTTTAGGACTTAAGGGTTGTGATTTTTGGATTCTGGAATTGCAAGTTTTAGAACGTGAAAGTGGAGGATTTGGATCTGAGATTTCAAAACTAAGAATCCCTTTGTTCTGTATTTCTGGATTGCGAGGTCTACCAAAATCCACAACTGGGATTTAGGGTATCATAATTTTAGAATTCAGAATGTCAAAATCAGGATTTCAAAATCCAAAATTTCAAGCTTATGATTTGGGATTTGCCGTTTTAGGATTCAGAGTTTTCGGAATTATGGGTTCCAGAATTTCGTGATTTCGTATTTCTGAGTAGAGAATTTCGGCATTTGAAGTTTCAAGATTCATGACTTGCATATTTTACTGTTACGTATTACGGATTCACAATTTTAAGATGACAGGATTGTGATTTTCGGATTCTGTAATTTCAAATTTTAGAACGTGAAACTGCAGGATTTAAAGATCTGAGTTTTCAAAATTAAGAATCCCATGATTTCTTTTTTGAAATTATTTGAAAGAATCGTGGAAATTTCTAGTTTTTATTCTTGAAAGAATTTGAAAGAATCTTTGAAATCCCCGATATTTTATTTCTTTAAATAATTTGAAAGCATCATAGAAACCCTTTGTGCATTATCTGTGAAATAATAAAAAAAAATCCAAGCAACCCGTATTTAATTTTTAAAGAATTTCTAAGATTCTCAGGGCCGGTTTACAGAACAGCGAGTTAAATATTTAATCCTCGATTAGTTTAACAGAGAATTAAAATGTGGAATATGAGCCCGTGATTGGTTGAAATATGCGCGTTGCCTCGCAACGGACCTCAGTTAAAAGTTAATTCGCTTTCTATAAATCGGGTCTTAGTGTTTTGTTTTTTCAAATAATTAATGGAAAAATCATCGGCACCTCTAATGTTTTTTTTTTTTTAATAATTTAAAGAACTCCCGGACGCCTCTATTATTTTGTTTTTGATAGCATTTCCAAAAATTTTCGCTAAAATTGGATTTTTTTTGTATAATTTGGAAAATCCTATCGGCCCTTGATGTTTTTTTAAGTTTTGAGAATCCTTGGTGTTTTATATTTTTAAATAATTTAAAAAAATCCTAAAAGATCTTTTTGTTTCATTTTTTCAAGAATTTTTAAGACTCGCAAGGCCTTCTGGTCTTGTATTTAAAAAAAAATTTGAAATCTTCAGTGTTTTATTTATTGAAGTAATTTGAAAGCATCTTAGAAACCCCCGTGTTTTATTTTTAAAATAATAGAAAAGAAACGTTAAGCCCTCGGTATTTCATTTTTTAGAATCTCTGAAATTCTCAACTCTCTCTGGTGTTTTGTTTTTTGAAATAATTTGAAAGAATCATGGGAATCTCTACAGTTTTATTTTTGAAAGAATTTGAAAGAATCTTTGAAAATCCTAGTGTTTTATTTATTGAAGTAATTTGAAAGCATTTTAAGAAACTCCTGTTTTGTTTTTAAAATAGAAAAAAACTGTAGGACCTCGGTATTTAATTTTTACGAATCTCTGAAATTCTCAAGGTTCTCTGATTATTTTTTTTTAATAATTTGAAAGAATCACTGAAATCTCAAACGTTTTATTTTTGAAAGAATTTGAAAGAATCTTTGAAATACCTGGTATTTTATTTATTTAAATAATTTGAAAACATCTTGGAAGCTTCTTGTTTTATTTTTTAAATCATAAAAAAAATCCAAGCACCCCCTGGTGTTTTGTTTTTTGAAAGAATCATGGGAATCTCTAGCGTTTTCAAAAAACTAAATTCTCAAGGTTCTCTGGTGTTCTTTTTTTTT